CCTTGCAGTTATGGCGACTCTTTTTGCCTGATTTGCATGAAACCCAAACAGGTCTACTACGACTCTCCCTTGCCAGACATTGTGACTTGTCGGACCAGTGCTGATCCCGTGGTGAATGTAGTATTTTGTCGGAACCCTGTCCAGTGTTTCTTCCTTCGGACGATTGGGACGTGTGCTTACCTCACAGGAGTTTTCGTCATCCATGTTTATAAAGATACCGGCAGGTCTTTCTGTATCTTTCCAAAGTGCTGGTTGCCTCTCCGTCGTTTTTCTTCCAGCGTTCTGTTTGGAGGATCCCGTAGTGGCTGGGCGGTTTATGTGGGCTGTGGTATCACATCAGCTTCTTAAGATCGTCTTATTTATGCAAGCTTCTTATTGCACTTGCAGTCTGCTGGTGTAAAAGCGTAAGACCCAAGTACAAACCTCATTAAATAACCATCACTCATGATTGTCATTAAAAGTAAATTGATGTGGACTGTGTCGTCGCATGAAAACTACCTCTTTGACATGCCGTCTTTGTAAAATGGTCCCACTCATATTCTAGAACACATGCTTTCGCTTAAGTCAGTCGGCCTGCATATTTGACAGTACAACTCATGCATACATATTTTGCTTGTAGTCCGCGGACACGGGAACCTGCGACAAAAATTCGTCCAACATCAACCGATCGAGTTGTCGTCAACACCGACCAAGTACCCGGCCCGATGCAGAAGGCGACTTCCCTTCCTCCCGTAACTCTGCTCCACCCTACGAGCACAGCCATCGTGGTCACGACCAGCGGCCTCATCATCATCATCACCATCATCACCGCCAGCAGCAGCCTGTGGAAACAGGACATCCCGACGGCCAGTCAAAATTCAAATTCCACTCACCTCTGCAGTCGGCCTCGCTAGAGAGTCTGGAGTCGCGGTTGGATTATCAGAGCTGGTCAAGCCAGTCGTCTACCGTGATTGCGGACGAGAGCCTCAATGACCTTCTCTCGGAGACTATTTACGTGCAGGATGATGATGATGATTATGAGGAGGAGTTGAATGAGGGAGAGGACGCCGTTGAAGGGGAGGAGGAGAAACGGGGCACCGAAGAGGCTCGGTCGGTGGATTTTGAAGAGAAGGCGGTAAACGAGGTTCTTGGGGGTTATCAACTTCTTACTGGCACCACCTCCACCCTGTCCTCTCACGACCTTTCTCCCGTCTCTGCCCCTCCGAGTCCCCGCGAAGGTTGGTTGCGCCTGCCATAACAACTCCTAGCATCGAATTATTGTTGATAAATTTACCTTCGTACAAATTCACTTATCCAGTAGGGGGTTTCAAATCTTATCAGAAATTATCGTGTGAATATAGAGTAATGATTTTAACCGCGGTGGCTTTGGTCGTGGTAGTAGTAGTAGTAGCTGTTAGTAGTATTAATCTTAGTTGGTTGGTTGGTAGCCCATGTTGGATCAGGGGTTCCCGCCGGAGTC